AGATGGAGGATGCAGTTGGCCCTTGCTGACTTGGTTAATACTCTGGGAGTTATACTGGACCCAGTATACAGAAGCAAATTAATGCAGTGGCCAAAAAACAAACCACTTTCTTCCATCTTCATGTATACAGAAAGATGGCTCCCTACCTTGGACTCTGCCAATCTGGCCACATGGATCCATGTCTCTGTGACTTCGAGTGTAGAGTGTAGAGTGCATTTTACATGGGTCTGCCCTTGAAGTCAGCTCAGAAACCAGGGTTGCCAGGTCCCCCATGGCTACTGGCATTTGCCAGCCCCACATTGGGAAACTGCTGGAGATTTATGGGTGCAGTCTGGAGGGACTGGGACCTCGGTAGGGTACAGTACCATAGAGTCCACCCTCTTTGTCCAGGGGAAGTGTTGACTGAAGATGAGCTGTAACTCTAAGTGTGATCCCCAGGCTCCACCTGGAGACTGGCAACTGTATGAAACTGCAGTTGGTACAGAATGCTGCAGTTCAGTTACTGTTGGGAGATGGGCAGAGTATGCCAGTTGCATCCATTCTGCAGTCATTCTATTGGTTACCCAACAGTTGTGGAAAATGCTGTCAAGTCACAGCTGTCTTATGGAGACCCCCATAGGGTTTTCAAAGCAAGAGATGTTCAGAGGAGGTTTGCCTCTGCGTAGCGACCTTAGGCTTCCTCAGTGGTCTCCCATCCAACTACTAACCAGGGCCGACCCTGCTTCACTCCCAGGATCTGATGAGATCAGGCTAGCCTGGGCCATCCAGGGTGAAAAACAGAAAGAGAAAGGCAGGCTATAAATAAAGTAAATGAATTCAGAGAAAGTCTATTTGCATAGTTAAAAATATGCAAGTGAACATTATTGACACAGAGATTAATAACTCATAAAGTTCTGGAGCCCAAATGCTGGCTGTTGTGAGTCTTTTTTTAGGAAGTGAAGGTTTCACAATAATAATGCAATTGAGCAGCCTGCATGATTGTTTTACTGCACTGGCATAAATCTGCACATGCTTTGCATTTGGATTACTGGCAGCTGTTCACCTCTATGATTTCCCTTTCTGTAAAGTGTCTCTAGAAGCTCTTTAAAAATCGTTTCCTGCAATTTTCTTAACATGCAGGTTATTCTAGCTCCCACCTACTTTTCCAGTATGCTTTAACGTAAATAGTTCATTTTCTTTTTTTTCCTTTTTTTGAAGAGTCATATTTGGTTCCATACTGAACCACATCTAGCTCTTGCATCATAGGCTGCAGAACTTTGGTCCACTACAAGATCCCTGCATTTCTCTTTGTTGTTGTTCAGTTGCACAGTCAAGTCCGACTCTTCGCGACCCCATGGACCAGATCGTGCCAGGCCTTCCGGTCTTCCGCCATCCTCTGAAGTTTGCTTAATTTCATATTTGTTGCATCTATGACACTGTCTAACCATCTCATCCTTTGCCGTCCCCGTCTTCTTTCACCTTCAATCTTTCCCAGCATCAGGGTCTTCTCCAGAGAGTGCTCCCTTCTCATTTGGTGGCCAAAGTATTTGAGCTTCAGTTTCATTATCTGGCCTTCCAGGGAACAGTCAGGGTTGATTTCTTTTAGGATTGACTGATTTGATCTTCTTGCAGTCCAAGGGACTCTCAAGAGTCTTCTCCAGCACCATAGTTCAAAAGAATCTATTCTTCGGCGCTCGGCCTTCCTTATAGTCCAACTCTCGCAGCCATACATGACTACTGAAAGACTATTGAAAGAGGTAGTCAATCTTTAAAGGTACAATTGTGGTCTTAGGGTACTGTCTCAGTGATGATCTGGTTCTTATAGATCCACATGGGTCAATGCAGGGGTAATTCATGAGGACAACCAGATGGATTTCACCTAGAGAACTGGTGTTGAGTAGTGATGGGCATGAACTGGGAAAATGTGGTATGGTTCATGGTATGCCAGCTTCATGAACCATGAAACATCACAAATAAACCAGTTTCATTTGTGAGGTTTGTGACATGGTAGAACACCCCTCAGCATGATAGAGACACCAAACTCACAAGGGATATCCGGCTAACCCACCTCTACCTACATGCCAAGGTTGGTGAGGATTGAATTTATGGGGTTCGAGTTATGGCTCCCCCAAAGAAGGTGTCCCCAGGAAAGCATTTTCTGGGGAAATGACAAGCACAGGTTCATGAGGGTCAGGATTGTATAGAATGGATCCTGTGCAAATTAAAGATGCCAAACATGCAAGAGATCTCCAGATGACTCTCCTCTACTTGCCCTCCAAGTTTGATGAGGATTGGATTTATGGGGTCCAAGTTACAGCCCCCCAAAGAAGGTGCTCCTATGGAGGGAAAAACAGCAAAAAAGCAAGGACAACAGAAGCCATGCAGAACAGAATCGAAGTCCCAGAGAATCTCTGCAGTAGAAACTGAAGGTTGGAGGCATTTTTGCAAGCCCAGCAGAACCAGTGCAATGTGCCCAGCAGAACTAGTGCCACTGTGGCACTGTGAACCCAACAGGACTAAGGTCAAGTCAGGGAAGTGTTTTTTGGGGGGACATGTCAGACACAGGTTCAAAAGTATATAGAATGGACCCCCTGCAAGTTACACACACCAAATGCACAGGGAACCTCACCCTGCCACCTGCTCTTTTACAATCTCTTCAAGTTGGGGGTGGATTACATTTCTGGCGTCCCAGTTACAGACTCCCCCAAAAAGTCTCTCCAATGCTCTTTCCAGAAAAGACAGCTGCAGTTACAGGAGTCTATGGAACAGCTCAGAAATAAGACAGCAAACTCACAGGGAAAGTTCACCTGGGCAGACCCCCCCATCAGACAGTGGAACCAAGGCAAGCATCCCCCCTATGCTTGCAACCCCC